TTGAGTCTCCTTTTTGTTTGTCTTTCTATTGTTTTTGTTTATATTCGTGTCTCTTTTTTGTTTATTCTTCTGTCTCCTTTGCTTGTCTTTCTGTCTTCATGTGTCTCCGTCTGTCTCGTTTGTTTGTCTTCTTTTTTTGTCTCCTTTTGTCTCCCTTTCTCTTTATTTATTTCCTTTTGTCTCCTTTTTTCTCTTTATGTCTTCTTTGATGTTTCTTGTCTCCTTTTATCTCTTTATGTCTCTTTTTGTCTCCTTCTGTCTCTTTATGTCTCCTTTTATCTCCTTCTGTCCCCTTGTGTCTTCATTTCTCTCTTTTTATCTTTTTTTTCTTTATTTATTCTTTATTTATCTCCTTTTGCCTCCTTTTGTCTTTGTGTATTCTTTATTTATCTCCTTTTGTCTCCTTTTGTCTCCTTTTGTCTCCATTTGCGTCCTGTTCTCCTTTTGTCTTTGTTTATTCTTTATTTGTCTCCTTTTGTCTCCCTTCTTCTGCTTTTTTCTTGTTAGGTATTGTTAAGGGTTGTATGGCTGAGGGTCGCCTCCGCTGCGATTTAAATTTGTCTCTCCACTGTCTCCGTTCTGGGCGCCACTACCCTCGGGTTTGTTTTACTGTCTCCTTGTCTTTCTTTAGTGCTGCTAATTGCATGCGCTGCTTTCTGCTGCTGCTGCTGCAACAAACAAACACCAACGCCCACGCCCCCCTGTTCTAACTGCTGCGCTCTACAGAGAGCTGGGCTGTGCATGCAGCTGCACTGTACAGACAGCTGCGCTGTACAGACAGCTACTCTGTACAGGGTGCAACTGGGGTGTACATGCAGCTGGGGTGTACATGCAGCTGGGGTGTACATGCAGGTGTTGTGCGTAGGTGGAGATAAAAAATGTGCGGAGTGTGAAGGCAATTCGCCGCGCAGTGGAAGCAGAAGAAAGGAGACAAAAGGAGACACTTAAAAAGGGGCTCAACATACTCCCAGAGACCAGGCACTGGGATGATGCACGCAAAGTAAGCAGCAAATGCTGCTGCTGCTGTTGCTGCTGTTGCTGCTGCTGTTGCTGCTGCTGTTGCTGCTGTTGTTCTGCTGCTGTTGTTCTGCTGCTGCTGCTGCTGCTGCTGCACCGCCAAGCACTGTCCATGAACTTCTGCAGCAGCATCTCCTAAACAGCTATGGAAGCTGCTGCGCTGTGCGGGAACAGCAGCAGCAACAGCAGCAGCAACAGCATCAACAGCAGCGGGGCTTGCTGCTGCTTTATTTGTTTTGCTGCAGCAATCTGTGCGCCTGCGAGGGAAGTTAAATTCTTCTTGGGTTTATTCACCCTTTGAAGAGACGCAGATACCCCCAGTGTTTATAGACAAAGAGACAAAAGAAAGAATCCGGTAAGAAGGAGACAGACAAAAGAGACAGATAAAAGAGACAGGGAAATGAGATAGAGAGGAGAGACAGACAGAAGAGATAGAGAGAAGAGACAGACAGAAGAGACAGACAGAGAAGGAACAGTAAGGAGACAGAGAGGAGACAGACAGAGAAGGAACAGTAAGGAGACAGAGAGGAGACAGAAAAGAGACAGAAGGAGGAGACAGAAACGAGAGGGAGAGGAGACAGAGAGAAGAGACAGCAGATGCTGCTCTCGCGCTGTATCTGTGCTCTAGGGTGTTTCTTTCTTATTTTTTATTTTTACTGCCTTTGCTGAGGTGTACGTACACCTCAGCCCAACAGTCTGTGGATGTATGCGCTGCTACGCCTTGGGGGCCCTGTCTGGGGCTTAGGGTTTAGGGTTTAGGGTTTAGGGTTTAGGGTTTGTGTAACAGGAAGGGCCTGGTGCCCCCTGCTGCCTCGAGGAGACAGCTGTACAGCACTTGGGGAGTTGAGGCGCCGCTGAGGGCCGCCATAGCCAAAGACATCCCCGTAAGAAAATAAAAATAAAAATAAAGCAGAGACAGAGACGGAGAGGAGACGCAAACAGAGACAGAGACAGAGAGGAGACAGAGACAGAGACAGAGAAACAAGGAGAGAGAGAGAGAGATAGAGATAGAGAGAGACAGAGAGAGAGAGAAAAGACAGAGGGGAGGCAGAGAGATATTCAGAGAGACAAGGAGGAGACAGCGACAGAGACAGGAAGAAGATAGAGACAGAGAGGAGACAGAGACGAAGAGACAGACAGCGCTGCACTGCAGCAGGGGACAGAGGTTGCAGATGACCGTAGATATGGGGATGCTGCTGCTTGGTTGTGCTGCTGCTGCTGTTGCTGCTGCTGCTGCTGCTGCTGTTGCTGCTGCTGCTGTTGCTGCTGCTGCTGCTGTTGCTGCTGCTGCTGCTGCTGCAGATGGCGGAGTTGTTTGAGGAGCTCGTTGCCTTGGGGGCCCCTCCTGCTCGCTCTGCTGCCTTTCTCGTCAGTGGCCTTCAGACAGCCCTCCGCGGTGTCTCCCCTTTGGGCCCTATCTCGTGAGTTGTGGGGTGTATAGGCAGCTAGCACTCAAAAGCTGGGGTGTATAGGCAGCTCGCCTATAAGACATGGGGTGTATAGGCAGCTTTTCCCTAATAGGTGGGGTGTATAGGAAGATTTGTTTTAATACTTGGGGTGTATAGGCAGCTCTCCATTACGCTGTCTCCTCCTGTCTCTTTTCTGCAGCGCGGAGGCCCTGGCCCCCGCTCTACGCGCGGCAGATAGGGGGACACTAACTAACAGGGTAAGCGTAGGCTAGTACTTCTCCCGCTTAGGGTTTAGGGTTTAGGGTTTAAAGTTTAGGGTTTAGGGTTTAGGGTTTCTAATTGTGGTTGCAGGCGCTGCGCCTATACGCCGCTGCTCTCTCTCGAGGGGACCCGGACGCGAAGAGACTGCTGACAGACGATGTACAAAAACCCTAAACCCTAAACCCTAATTTATTCTCCTGCGACAGCGAATAGCAGTGCCTCGCCACAGTACAACTGGCAGAGCCTTAGAGGCTGCGGTTCTAGGGTTTAGGGTTTAGGGTTTGGGTGGTGCGCAGAGATCGCAAGAGGAGATGGAGACTCGCGCTGCAGAGGATCTAAGGCAACTCTTAAAACAGCAGCGAAAGTAAACCCTAAACCCTAAACCCTAAACTGAGGTGCACTGGGGGAGAGTTGAGGTTTCTTTCCTAGGGTTTAGGGTTTAGGGTTTAGGGTTTGCGCGCAGGCAGCAACCAGGGGCTCTAGTCGGCGCTCTGCTGTCTATACACCCCAAGCTCTGCCCTCTGAATGCCCGAAGGCTTGTAGAGGAGGCTCTCTCTAGTCAGCAGCAGCACACTGCTGCTAGCAGCAGCTAGCTAAGCCCTGTGGCTAGCTGCTACCAGCCACAGCTAGCTGCTGCAGCTGCTGTTGTTAGGTCCTGTGGATAGCTGCAGACAGCAACAGCTAGGTGCTGCTGCTGCTGCTGCTGTTAGGTCCTATGGCCGCCTGCACAGACAGCCACAGCTAGCTGCTGCTGCTGCTGCTGCTGCTGCTAGGTCCTGTGGCTAGCTGCAGCAGCTAGCGGCCTGCTTTCCTTTCTTTCCGTAGCGGCCTGCTTTCCTTTCTTTCCGAGCCACCCGCTGTTTCTCCTTCTCCATCTTTTGCTGCTGCAGCAGCTGCTGCTGCTTGTTGCGCTGCACTTCCCTGCAGCAGCAGCAGCAACAGCAGCAACAGCAGCAAAACATCGTGTTTTAACACCACCTCTGGGGTTTGGTTAAACCCTAAACACTATCGAGGCCCGAAACCCTACGCGAGGGTTTAGGGTTTAGGGTTTTGTGATGATTTAGGGTTGAGTGCTTTTAGCAGTTGTCATGGTATAGCGTTTAAGGCTTCACGAGGGTTTAGGGTTTAGGTTTTCATGAGGGTTTGTTTAGAGTTTATTAGGGCTTAACGAGGGTTTAGGGTTTAGGGTTTAGGGTTTGGCTGACATCTCGTGCTCCGCCTTTGCCTTTGCGCGCGCCGCTTGAGACGCCTGCTGCACCTGAAGGCAGCAACGGAGTGTATGTACAGCGCAGCATCAAACCCTATAAGAACCCTAGAGCCATAAACCCTCGTCTTCAAAGGGTTTAGGGTTTAGGGTTTAGGGTTCGAGGTACCCGAGCTCTGTTGTCGTTGCTCCAAATCCCTACGTCGTAACCCTCTTTTTTGGGGCTGCTGCTGCTGCTGCTTTGCTGCAGCAGCAGCCTACCCTCTTCATCACACTCTACCATCTCATCAACCTCGTAACCGTACTGCTGCACCACCCGCTGTAGCAGCAGCAGCAACAACAACAACAGCAGCAGCAGAATCAGCAGCAGCAGAAAATACAGCACCATGGAGCAGCAACAACTGCAGCTGCAGCGGTTCATATGCAGCAGCAGCAGCAGCAGCAGCAAAGAAACAGCAGAAGTAGCAGCTGCAGCACCACCACCGTCACAGCGGCGGCAGCAGCACAAGAACAGCAGCAGCAGCAGCAGCATTAGGCAAGCAGCAGCAACAGCAGCAGCAGCAGCACCTCTCGAATGCGTCTTGCTACTTCATCTTCAGGCCCATCGGTCGGACGGGCCACTGCTGCTGTTGCTGCTGCTGTTGCTTCTGCTGCTGCTGGAGCGCTTTTACAGAATATAGCCTCAAGGTTTTGCTTCTGCTGCTGCTGGTGCTGCTGCGCTGCAGCAGGCAGCACAACATCAACCCACTGTGCAGCGCATCTGCAGCAGAAGTCTTGTAGCTGCTGCTGCAGCGAGGGGTCTTCTAAAGAGAGGCTTAGTGTCTCATGAATCTCGTTTTGAAGCTGCTGCTTCTGCTGCTGCTGCTGCTCCGGTGCTGCTGCTGCTATTGCTGCTGCTGTTGCTGTGCTGGCGGAGGCCTCTAGTACCCCTAGGGTGTACTCTGCAGCAAGAAGCAGCAGCAGCAGCAGCAGAAGCAGCAACGGGCAAGCAACAGCAACAGCAGTACACAAGCAGCAGCAGCAGCAGAAACAGGCAAGCAGCGGCAGCAACAACAACAACAGCAGCAGCAGCACCAGCAACAGGCAAGCAACGGCAACAGCAGCAACAG